CGTATAACACCCAGACTAATCCTGGCCTGCTGCTCAGAGTGTTAATGGTGTAATTGAATTAGTGATCAAATTGGTGAGACAAATCAAGGACACTCTTTTCAACTGAGCCTGCAGTGATCAATCATTGGTTAATCAAGTCACCACGCACTCCAAACTATTCTGTTTTTCGGGAGACCCCAAGCGTTTGTAGAGATAACGTGGCCGCTTTAGTTGCTGTAAACCGGACCGGAAGAGGACATTTTATAGAGACTGATGGCAGAAAGAAAACGAAGTGGATCCAGTAAATGCAACTAGTGTGTCCATGATTCTCTATAACAGATCACTAAAGCGCCTCTGTTGTGGAAAATTATTTTCTTATTTCTACTGCTAAGCATCTGTCAATGTGGAAGTAATCTGTAATGCTGCTACCAGGATAGTTCAAATTAAATGAAATAATAACCAAAAAATATGAATGTTTCGAAGCCAATTTTAAGATAACAGCAGCAACATTTGGTAAGCCTTATCTCCTTAATTACATCTCCTCTAAATCCCATTTGAATGATGAGCAAGAGGCATATTGTAAAACGTAACAATGTCAAAGTTAGGATGAACTATGTAATGGGCTGTGCAGGAGCAAAGCAGCACTCCTTTCTGCTCTCTTGTTTGCTTTCTCTTTTCAGTCTTACTTCTTCTCTGACACTCACTAAAAAAACATTTAATGTGTGAGAGTGTGCGTGTTGTCCGTCATTACCTAAGCACGGGCAACAGTGATACAGGCCTGATAAGAAGTAGCATTACTCTCTTCGTAATCCTTGTTAATCCTGACAGTGACTGCAGCCTTAGTGCAAACAAGTATGTAAAAGGAACTGCAAACCCTGAGCAGAAAGTGAACAGATCAATCTCAAACAGAGGCCGACATTATCATATCCGACCACAGCATAGACAACAGATGTGCACACAGTTATTTACAAAGGACTGGGTTGTAAATTATCAACGCAATCTTGACTGGTTGGACCAGCCTTTAAAACACATCAATCTATTCATGGATTTTGCCCCTCGCACTGCAACCCAATTCAGCATCTGTATTGACTTTTATTGTAACTAAAGGAAATGAGCTTGGCACATACTGGGCACGGAAGGGGAGCCCTAGTCACGTGAGGGGGAAAGCCTACTGTATATGGATTAACATAGTGATTGCTGGTAACCTACCACATGGTGCTACTGGCTAAACTGTAACCATATTGACTAATGAGCAACAATTGAATGGTTTTCTTTCACTCAAACAGAGAACGTGAAAAGTGTTTTGTTTACTATGCGACGCAATTTTGCAGCAGTGGAACAAGGGGGAAAATTGCTCAAAATAAATCAACACACAGGTTGAATCATTTCATGTTTTTTAACCCCTAAGCATGCTTTGATAAAGGTCAGTTGTCTCAAGGGAGGGGTAAAGGACATGAGACTAGTTAAGAAAAAGCAGCTAATATCGTCTGGTAAGTCCAGAGTCTTTACCCTCTCCTGCTCCCTAACCTCAAGAACAGGTCAGTCCCATAAAGCTACTTTCAAGACACGGAGGTGAGAGGAAGTGAGGGTCAAAAGCCAAAGGTAACACACTGGAGGAGGCCTAGCGGTGGATGTATTTTAAAACTTGAAGATCAATGAAAGGAGTTAGATGCTAACAAACACTAAATATTTACCGTAACCAGCGAACATCTGTTACTGCCCAGCTGTAAAGGCTCTGTCAGACAGGTCATCATCAACGAGGCGCTAAACATACAATGGTGACCATTTACGGTACACTGCATAGTCCTTAAACTTTAATAGGCACTTCCTCCAATCTCCCTTAGCTTTGGTTTACACAATTTCTTCATTTACATGTGATTTTTTTGTTGATTTATTGCGTATTATATATAGTATATTCAGTACCACATGAGCTTCAACATAGTGTCTATCTCAACAGCAATTTGGAGTAACCACTTTCTACTCATTAATAATTTGTTTCACAATAAAAATCTATTTCCTCAAGCTTGAAAATATGCCTAGAGGGCACAGTTGGCCACACAGCAATTTGAATAGTGGAACATACTGTTTACATGTCAAAGCCTAATAAATGCACAGACCTTGTGAAGCTGCATGGCCCTAAAATGTATTCATCGTCTCAAGGATTCTGGAGATAAAAAAAGGCTTCTTGAACATAGCCGTTA